TCTTTAAAACAAGAGGGGAGAGGGCAGTTAAGCCTTCTTCTAATGACTTGGCTTCTTGGTAACAAGCAGCAGGAATTAATCCTGATCAGTTCAAGAGAGAAATGAATGCTTTGGAAAGACTCTCATTTAGACAGGAAACCCAGGTGATAAAGCAGGCAGGACTCAAGGGCAGTCAAGCCACTGGGACCACTGATCCAATCCCTGAGCCCTACTCCCTCACCCTAACAGTTGTCTTATTCTGAGTCTTGACAAGTTCTCTATGATAGTTAAGAGCATGACCTTGGAGCCAGACTGATTTCAGCTCATATTCACCAGGAGCCTTAGGCAAATTTCATAACTCCTCTGCACCTTAATTACACATCTGTCAACTGAGGATAAAATTTCAACTTGTTTGCTGGACATGGTTCATGCCTGTAATCCCAGCACTCAAGAGGCTGAGGCAGGAGGATCACTGTGAGTTCTAGGCCAGCCTAGGCTACATAATGAGTTCAAGGTCAGCCTGAACTACATAGCAAGACCTTGTCTCCAAAAAAATATCTTTTCTACTGGCTTTAGCACCTACTGCTGTGAAACAAATTACCCCAAATCTTAGTGACTTAATCCAACAATACACATTTATTATCCCAGTTTCTTTGGGTGAAGTATTCAGGAGTGGCTTAGCTGAACAGTGAGTTTTCTTGTGAGGTTCTTTTGGCAATTGGTCAGGGCTACAGTCATCTGAGGGTTTCACTGAACTGGAAGAACTGTCCCTGAGAAAGTTCACACATGTGCCTGGAAAGTTGGTGCTCCTAATAGGAAGCCTCAATTTCTTCCCAGGTGGGTTATTCGGTGTTCTCACAGCATTGCAATTCCCTTTCCTTCAAGCAAACAATAGCAGAAAAGAATCAGACAGAAGCTACATCCTTTTTATGGACTGGCCTTTGAAGTCACATGACATCACTTCTGTGGCATTGTGTTCAAGAGGAGAAACCCAGCAAATCCTTTCACAGGCAAGAAGAGGAAAATAAAGAACCACTGTGGTTTTCCAAAGACTGAATTTTTATTTCACGAGTCTCACTTAAAAGTCAGTTTTCTTAATTTAAATGATAAGTAATAATCAATTCTATTCATAGACACCATAAAATACATAAATTCAAGTTTCAGCCATTCTCTTTTTCAGATTAAGCTCCAACTTTTGAAGGGAGGCATATAAAAAAATTAGCACCCATATAATATAACCACCATACTACCTTTGAGATTTTACTAAAGATTGAATCAGTTCAAGTAAGTGCTGAAAACAGTGCCTGGAATGTAGTCATTGCCATGTACGTGATTGATTGTCATCACTACCATCATCCTTACTACTGTGGCTGTTTTTATTTTCCTTCCTCACTCTGCCAGGTGCCCTACTCCTCACTCTTCCTTCTCTCCCGGAGTCACCTGAAACCTTCCAGTTGACCCCTCCTTGATTTCCTGACTCTTCCTTCAGGCAGCAGGGGCCCCTTGGGATTAGCCCTGCCTCTTTATGTCTCTGGACGACACAGTCTAGCTATACTAGAACTCCCCTGGCAGTGGCCACAGCTGGCTATCCCAAGTGGAGTCTGCCTTCACAGTTGCTATAAGGTTGGCCCTTGCTCTTCTTCCTTCATCTCCTCAGGCAAAATGCAACACTGAGCTTGAAGAAATTCCCAGGCAGATGAGGTTATTCTAGGGACACACAGGGGCCTTTGTCCTGCTGGTGCTCTGTTATGATAGGGTATGCGGTGAGATTTGAGATCTTGAGCAGAAACCACCAGCAAGAGGCAGGGAAAGGCAGCAAGAAGAGCAATAGCTGCCTGTTAGCCCACAAACCAGAAGGCAGAGACATCGGCAGCATTGTGTAGGTTGCACCCTGCAAAGGACACCAAAGGCCTGAGGGCCAGGTACAGGGTCTTAAATCTCTCTAGGTTCTGAGTGCCCCACCCATAGCCTTGGCTATACGAGCCCTGAGGCTGGGGTGCCACAAACCAGTCTGCTCAGAGTAGGTACTTTTTCTAACTGCTATAAAGCATTACATGTGCTAGCTCCATCATCAGATCTTTAAAGCAAACATTGTGATTCCTGACCTGGGGCCCTCATATGTGAATAATTCACAAACAGGTAGCTAATCACTTAAGCTGCTCAGGTTCAGCTTTTTCATTTTTGTTTCTACTTGGACTTCTTTCTTTGGCTGTTAGGTATGATATGCACATGAGATGTCACAGATGGAGACACACAAGACACATGCCCTTTCCCAGACATCCTGTCTGCTATTGCTCTTCTGTTGGTCTGGAATGCCACTGTCTTAGTCACTTTCTCATTGCTGGAGCAAAATATCTGACACAACTTAAGGACAAGAGGTTTATTTTGGCGCACTTTTTTTTTTTTTTTTTTTACAGGATTCAGTCCATACTTGTCTAGTTCTAAAGAGCAAGGGTAAGGTATGTCTGGAAGAACAAAGCTGCTCATCTCACGGCAGCCAGGAACCAGAGAACAAAGGCGGGGACCAGAGAGATCTCTCACAGAAAGGGGTGGAAATGAAGTAATGAGCCAGAAAGCATTTCATACAAACTTTATGTAAAAATTTTCCAGAAGAAAGTCATACACAGAAAAAGACCCTCCTAGATCCCCCCATTTGTTTAAAAATATAAAATAAAGAGGAACAGAATCCATCCCACTGCAGTGCACTTCCCTTTAGCTTAGAAACCAGACTGTCCATATTTATACTTGGTGGGTTCTTGTCTCTAACAGTGAAAGAGGCAAAGCAGCATGGTAATAGTAATTAATGACCAAACTAGGATGTGTGGTCAGTCCATAGACAATGATGAAACAGAGCTCGACTCAGTGTCTAAGTGTCTACTCAATGACAGTTGTTCTAAGTGCTCCAAGTGTGGAAAGTTCATTTAATCCCCTGAACCCCATGAGGCAGTACTGTTATCACCTTTTTCGTGTGGGAAGACAGAGATCGCAAAACCCAAGATCACAGAGTAAACTGTACAGCCAGGATTTTGATGGCAGCAAACTAGTTTCTAAACCTGTGTTCCTGACTACCATGACCATGCGTGTGCCGGTGTCCCAGACAGACAGTGCTGCTCAACATCTGTTGGATTTCTCCCCAGATACTAGCTCCAGCCAACCCACCGTTTCAGCATTAGACTCATGGTATTATAGTTTTAGAAAGTTGGATGTATTATTGTGGTAAAAAGCAGGTAGTACATAAAATAACGTTGGAGCAGGAAGTGAGTGTAGTGGCAGCCAATCTGACTCTCAGTTTTGAAAAGCCATGCAGGATTATTGTGGTTATTTAAAAATTAATCAAATATTCTCTAAAATATGTGTACTGTTTTCCAAGATGGCTACTAAGGTAAGACGCCTTATTAATTCATTTGGCTCTAGCCACTTAGAAAGAAAAACTGTCATGTAATTCACTTGGCCTAGGAGTATCAAGAAAGTGATATATGAATGCAGAAAGTATAAGAGTCTCTGCACCTGTCTTTTTGCCGCTGGTAGAACCCTGGAGAGTAAGACAGAAAACGCCTTGTTTCTGTTACTGTGTTACGTCACAATAGAATAATAGAAATGCTTCCTCTCTGTCTGTATGTCTGTCTCTTTCCCTCCCTTCTTCTCCCTCCCTTCTTCTCCCTCCCTCCTTCCTCCTCTCTGTCCTTCTTTCTTTCTCCTCCTACTACCCTACTTCCCCACCTAAAAAATACCCCAAACATTCCTTCACCTCAGGCAGTTGTCAAAAATGCTGTTTGTCTTCATTTCAGTCTTTTGTCCTTTTTTACTGATAAGGAAACCAACAGTTTAGGTTAGTTTGAGCCCAGTCATCTGTAAGCCTAGTCAAGGTTTAGTCTGAGCATCTCCCCACTAACATACAGTCGCCTCAGGTTGGGAGTCACATTGTCAATTCAGACCCAGGTAACACAGTGCTAAGCATACACGCTAAGGTACTCCCCTCTGGCCAGCACCCCAGACTGGCACACCCAACCTCTCGTAAATATTCAGAGACAATGAGGAGACAGAATGGGCAAGAGGGCGCGGCTGTGGGAGGGGACTGGGACGGGAAGTGGTCACTGGGTCTTGGGTCACAGCGCACTTTTCATTCTTGCCCTACCACATCTTCTAGAACAGCGAACTAGGCAGCAGTGGGCAGTGGTGTGGAGGCAGCATGTGGGGCAGAAGCGTGTGACATGGTCTGTACACCAACCAGGGACCTCCTTAGAGTCACTCTTCTTATACCTCATTTCCTCTCTGAAAGGACTCATTTCCCCATTGCTCCAGGTACTGAGTGCCATGGGCACACTCACAGCTTGGTTGCGTACCTGACAGTCTGGGCATCTATCTTTCTAAGATGTCAAGTATATTAAAAATTTTGGTGGGCCATCCTTACAAGACAGTTTATATCATTGCTCACAATGCCAAACTGACATGCATTTTAACTGTAGTAGCTAATACTTGGTAACATTTAACGAGTAATTAACGAATGCTGAGTGTTGTACTAAACTCTTTCTGCGATCTTCACGATAAACTAATGCGGTAGTATTATTATTTCTATTTTACGGACAAAAGTCCCGCAGCACAGAGATTAATCCACCCAAAGTTACATGCTTCTAAGTAATGGCACCCCTCACTCTCCGCCCATAAATCTGAGCCGTTACAAGTTCTCTGCGATCTACCCTCAACCTGTGGTGCTTTCTTAATGAAGTCTGAATGATAAAGGCCAAAGCAATCCCCGAAGGTTAGCCTTCACACTTAAATCAATTTTAGCTAAATCGGTGGATAAAGCGGCTTCGCACACCCAGTGTCCCTGGAGGGTGGAGGAGGCTGTGGAGGATAGGGGAGGGGAGTGGGATTCTCCAGATGGAGCTTTGCAGCCCCTTGGGAGCTCCCAAACTGTCCAAATGCTCCAGGCTTCCGCTGCTCCGCCGCCTGCCAGCTGGATCAGGGTGTTTGCCACCCCGCGTTGCCCGGCACTTCCTCGTTCCCCTGCGCTCCAGACGCAGCTCCCTAAGCCCAGAGCGGGCGTTCCTCCGGCGGGAGGGGGCCAGAGGGGAGATGTCGCAACCACCGCCCTCCTCTTTCCCCGCCTTGGCACTCTGTCACCTCCCAGAGGAGCGCGCTGGCACACCGGTGCTGGCGGCCCTGCGCCCGGCATGTTCCCCGAGTGCGCGCGGACGGCGGCGAGCACCGGCCCCCCGCGCAGCCCGGAGCAAGCCAACCGCACGCGTTTTCCTTTCTTCTCCGACGTCAAGAGCGACCACCGGCTGCTGCTGAGCGCCGTGGAGACCACTGTGCTGGCGCTCATCTTGGCGGTGTCCCTGCTGGGCAACGCGTGCTCCCTGGTGCTGGTGGCGCGAAGACGGCCTCGCGGCGGCACCGCTAGCCTAGTGCTTAACCTTTTCTGCGCGGACCTGGTCTTCACCAGTGCCATCCCGCTGGTGTTAGTCGTGCGCTGGACCGAGGCCTGGCTGCTGGGCCGCGTCGTCTGCCACCTGCTCTTCTACGTGATGACCCTGAGCGGCAGCGTCACCATCCTCACGCTGGCCGCGGTCAGCCTGGAGCGCATGGTGTGCATCGTGCGCTTACAGCGCGGCGTGCGCGGTCCGGGGCCGCGGGCTCAGGCCGCGCTGCTGTCGTTCATCTGGGGCTACTCGGCGCTCTCCGCCCTGCCCCTCTGCATCTTCTTCCAAGTCGTCCCGCAGAGGTTTCCCGGCGCCGACCAGGTGAGCGTCCACTGCATGCGGCCGGGCAGATTCTGATGGAAGCGGCGAGTTGCGTTGGTAATGCTTAACAGCAATATGCAATAAGCTGCGTTAACCTTGTGTCAGATCCTGTGCTCGAGCTCTGTGAAGTTTCATTTCTTAAATCTCAATGACAACCCTGTGATGTAGGTACCTAAACCTCCTCCCAAACGCTGTAAGTGGAGTCCCCACAACCCGCCAATTCTTGCCAAATGCAGTGGTGATTATGCGTTCAACAACAGGGAGTTTAAGAGCCAGAGGGAACTTCTATGGGGCTTTGAGATGGCTGACACTGTATTGAATTCGGCTTTCTCGCCAGTGTTACACTGCTGTTATTATCACGCCCACTTTACAGATGAGGAAGCTGAGGCACACAGAATAATAACTCACCCAGAGCATCTCATCCAGGAGTTGGGTTCATGCCAGGAAAGGTTAGTATTGCACTTAGAAAGCCTGTAGGTAGGCGTTTGCAGGTGGTTGGAGAAGGGGCATTGGAGAACCAGGGATCCCAGACCCAGTGCTGCCTCTCATGGGCTAGAGACATCCTCTCTTCTCCAGGAGCCTCAGTTTTTCCGACTGCAAGACTGCAAGGGAAGGTTACACTAGACCACGGGGAGCCTCGGAGGAGGCATTTTCAGGTGTCCCACACTCCAGAACTGTTGCCTAGATTCCAGAGGCTGGGCAGCAGCGTTTCATTTTGGTCCGTGGGCCCACAGTTACCACTGGGATCTAGGGTCGTGGAGGGGTCCACCTTCTAGGACACATTCTCCTGACAGTGCAGCTCTGGCTCGGTTCACCTGGAGTCCCACAGTCCGGAATTCCTGGGTAAGGTCTGTTCACATTGCTGCCCTGCCCCGCAGCTGCGGGGTTTGCTTATGGAGATCTACCTGAGATGCCAGGCCTGCAAGCCAGGCTGCTGCGGAGGACATCGGCTGGCAGGTCCGACTGCGTACGCTGTGCCGTGTCTTTTTCTGCACCGTGCACAGAGGGAAAGAGTTAAGGTCTGTGCGCATGACTGCGATAGTGTGGTGAAGTCCGGTCTCCTGGCTCAGCCTTCTGGAGGGTCTGCCAGAGGCTCGGTTCTCATCTGTCTCTCTTTTCCCTCTTGGGTTATTGGGTATTTTTGGCCTGGGTCAGGAACTCTCACACTAGGGCCTAGCAGGGGGACTGGGGCACCCACAGCCTGCCAGACAAAAACAAGAACTGCAGTCCCAAAGAGAGGCTGGTAGTGAGTCAGAGGTGGGCAAAGATGTTACCTGGGAAGGCTCCAGAGGGAGACAGCACAGACTAAGAACGCTTTGGATGTGTGACTCTCCAGAGCTGCACACAAAGGGGGCGTTTGCTGAGGACTTACCTTTGGTGAGGGGTTTGGGCAAAGCCCCTGGGGCAAATGGGCTGGAACTATGCTTCCGAAGGTTGAGACCAGGTCAGTTACCTGCAGGAGCCCTGTTTATTGAAATCAGTGCAGGTGGATGGGGAGCTTGTAATGAAGAAAATGGGACACTCCCTTCTGGCTTTTCATCTTCCTTGACTTCTCTCCGGCTGTCTGCCATCCCACCCCTGCTCTCCCCTTTCTCTCTCACCAGGTTTTTCTCTGTTTGAGTTACAGTGTACAGTGATCCTTTTTAGTCCAAGTTTTATATTCTACAGTTAGAGTTACCAGCAGTTTCAGGTACTTGTGGACAACCAAGCTCTGATAATACTAAATGGAAAATTCTAGAAATAAAGAATTCCTACTTTACGTAATTGTATTACAGTGTATTGTTATAACCATTCCAGTTTATTATTAATGTGTCATTATTCACTTACTGTGCTTAACTTATAAATTAAACTTCATCACAGGGCTGTTTATAAAGGAGAAACAACATATATGAGGTGTGATCAAAATCTCTGGTGAATATTTAAAAGTTGTTTATTACAGTAAAAGACACATTGCAATTAATTCATCTTTAATTTACACATTGCCATCAATTCCCTCTTAAGTATCTTCAAAAATACTTTCAATACTAACTGCCATCCAAAAGAAAGCCAGGCTTGTAAAAGCATTAGTGTGTCCTCAAGCACCTTATTCACTGGATCTGCACTATGCGACTTATGGCTTTCCTGAAAAATCAAAATGCTCATGAAGGGTGAATGTTTTGAATTGATTCAGGACATCAAGGCAATCACAATAGTAACTCAAGATAGCACAGAAAAAGGCTGCCAGAACTGCTTTATAGGATGGCAAGAATGATGGGGTAAGTGTATTTAAAGTGAGGGGGCATATTTTGAGGGCAATAATGGCACTGTGTTTTACCAGAATATTTTTAAAATTTAAGCATTCACCAGAATTTTCAGTCACACCATGTAGAACATTCAGTACTACCTCTGGGTTCAAAGATCTACCAAGGGTCTCGGAGATCCCTGTAAATAAGGGGTGAGAAAGACTACTATATTTTCTTTATTCCTACTAAATAAGGGGTGAGAAAGACTACTATATTTTCTTTATTCCTACTATTCCTATTTTCTTTATTCGAAGTCAGCAAATAGAAACTCCGTAGGCCCTCAAGGGTTGTCTGAGTATGTCAGAAGCATCCCTCTTTGTAGGATCAGCAGTTGAATAAAGTTGAAATAAATGAGAGGGATCAAGGGACCAGGGCATAAGACAATTTTTAAAAAGGACAGAGAAGGATCTGGTTTAGACTTAGCTGAGTCTCACATTTAAAATTAACAAAGGCATATTTTCTCAGTCCTCACAGATCTTGCCTGTCCCTTCCAAGTTGGAAACTAAATGTGGAAGTTTTAGTTGGGGGATATTTTTCTTTCCAAATCATATGCTGAGGGCCCAACTAACCCCAAACACATAGGGGGTTCCTTCCCCTCGAGAAGTACTGATAAGGAAAACAGTGCTCCTTAGAGCTTTCTGCTCATTGCAGACAGCCCCCAAACAGGGACATAGTGACCTTGTCCACTTGGGCTGCGTGTGCCTACCCTTTCATGCTGACCAGACTCTAAATTTCACTGAGGGGAGGATGAGATGTTACCCATGCTAGAAATGCTAGACCTTTTGGTATTGTGGGCTTTGAAATCAAATATTCTGAGCTCATCTCTGATCACCAGAGTCGTGTGACAGAAGATAAGCTGTCTCACCTCTCTACACCTCACTTTCATTGCTTGCAAAATGGGCTCAAGAACAGTATCAACTGTACAGTATTGCCCTGGGGACTCATGTTCAAGAAACCTGGCGTGTAGACAGTTAAGTGCTCAAGAATTGCTAGCTATTATTAGTTTTCCTTATCTTTGGGTATAAACATTTTAAACATTCTTCAAACGATGTAATTCTTCTGATTGCTATAAAGTAATACGCTACCATTTTAAGTGGGTGGACATATCTTAGCAACATTGACATCTTGGCCAGGTCAGCTCAGCCTGTTCCAACCGGCTGCCTGCCTGTGTGTGCCATGGCCCTCGCCAGGTGGTGACCCACATTGGTGGGTGGGGAAGACCATCCGCCTTGGCCAGCGTATGCTGCCTATTCATTCTACAAACATTTACTGAGCACCGCTCCCCTCTCAACCTGCCACAAGTCACACAAATGCACCTCCTAAGCATACAGATGGTCCCAGACCCTGGCCTAACTCTATAATCTGTAGTAATTCCACAAGTAGGCGTTCTTATGTTTATTTTCTGAGAGAGGAAATGCTCAAACTCGCAGCAGGCAAAGGATGGTTCCAGAAGGCAGTCCAACTCTTGTTCCTCTAGGTGTCATCTCCTGTGAATTCACACTTCCTCACCTCCACCCTTTCCTGATTTCATGCCAGGTCTCTGTTGTGATTGTATCTCTACTGAGTGTAGATTGTCTGAGGACACAGGCATAGTTTACTGCCTTTGTTAATAAATGTTAGAGAATGCTTTTAAAATATAATAAGTAAGTCCATCTCTTGAGTTGATATTTCCTCTTTTCTGTCCAAACATCTATAGAGGAATATATCTCCAAGGACGAGTCATCATCCTTAAAATGATCTTGCAGACATCTGTTTTGTTTGAAGACGTAGGGCAGCAGGAATGATTTACCAAAGAGTTCACTGGGGCACTGCAGGAAGAATCATTAGAGAAGCTTCTAGGAAAATAGCTAGAACCAGGCAGCATGTGCAAATACTTTAACCAGTGTGGGGAGGGGTCAGCACTTGGGCAGTGCCTGTTAATGGATGTCCTAATCCCTAGGAAATTCCTGACTGAATAGTTCTGTACTGAGCACCTGATGTGTGCCAGGCATAATTATAGGTGTTGGCCTCTTGCCTTGAATAAGACAGGCTTTTCTTCTGCCCTTGCCTTTGGTAGAATATTGAGAAAAGGTGGGTTCCTGGCCGAAGACTGGTGATTCACATTCTCAAAGAGCTGTGGAAGGGATGCTTTTGGGTGTTAGGAATTCACAAAAGCTACCAGACATATAATGTGTTTTCACTGGATGTAGAGATAAGAGGAAGTAAGCGAGACGAGGGCACGGAGGAATGGAAGGGCATCACAGGCAAAGAAATAGCCCATGTAGAGCAGACTGCCACTCTGAGCCCTGCAATAGGACAAGGGCTTGGCTTGTGCAGAGTGTGGAGGGTGGAGGTGGCTCCTCTTTAGGGAATGTGAGCTCTCCTGGTGAGGAGATGGCCACCTGGAAGAAGCAACAAGGGAGAATGAGGAAGGAGGGTGGGTTGGATATTGATTAAGAGGACCTCAGGTTTCTTCTGGTGGGGAGGAGCAGAGGGACAGTCCACAGGTTTCTAGTAGCATGGGAAATGGCAGCTATGTGCCCTGATTTGGTGACTATGAACTGGGAAAGTGGGCTAGTCACAGCTACCATGCCTCCTCCGGAGGTGTCCTCATGACAGTGGGTGAATCTGTGGTTCAATAGAGCACTGGGAAGGAAAAAGTGAGTGGAAGCATCTTCTGAAAAAAAAAAAAAAAAGAAAGAAAAAAAGCCTTGGAAGTGAGTGAGCTGGCAAAGCAAA